ACGCGGACTAAAGTTGTAGCGTGGCTGATGATTCACTTTTATCCTTGCCTATTTGGCCCTTAGTTCTGATTTGACTTAACTATTATTACCGAAGGGGCAAATTCGATGGGACACTTCTTAGACTATAGAAGGTCGATTGGATCATGTCAATTGCCGCACGTGATCGAGTCATGGAGTTCGCAAACACCGATGCCCCAGCTGTCAAAGTTAATTCCCTCCCCCTTCTTCCTCCTTGCAGGGGTTGGGAGATTCTGTTGTTAAAATTATTATTTTGTCAGATCTGCTCGGATAAAAGCTACATTAAGCTCAATACATTTAGGACTTTCAAGCCGGCTTAATTTATTCCGGTCGAACGTGGCTCGGTGTTGAACAGGGTATAAATAAAGATTGAGGGAAGTAAGGAACTATTTATTGACAACGAAATCCTTGCTTATTTTCTGCGCTGCGTAATTTAGAAAATTTTTATTTCTTCGTGTTGATGCTAGTCGAACCACGAAAGTACGAACCTGCTTTCCCAGTTGAGAAATAACGGCAGTGTAAGTGACCAATGATGTCAGTGATTGCGCGAAGTGGTGTAGAGCATTCTAATAATTTCTAATTGTCTGGTTCAAATCAGAGGCACGCAAGTAGTGTTCAATAAAACATTATTCAAATAGCAAAATAGTGTTTGTTTTTTTTTCAACTTCTTTTTGGAAACTTTCACTTACTTCCCGGTATGTTTCTTAGGGCATGTTGAGTGTGGACTCAGGAATTGGCGAAAATTTCTTTAGCCCAACCTCGTTCTCGTTCACTTCAACAAATAGCGTGGGCGAGTTGGTGCACCCGCCCGCGCCAGCCGGTTTCACCCGCGACGAGGCTCCTCCATCTCAAACAGCCAGCGCCGTTGCCGCCGCCGCTGCTGCAAGCACCTCATTTGACTTCACGCCCGCGACCCGCCTTGACTCGGCGGCTCTCAAGCAGGCGGCGGTGGCCGTCGGGTCGGCGGCTTCCTCTGTTACCCAATCGAGCCCGTCAATCGAACTCACAGCAGGTGGCACCGCGCCCCTCCTGCGCTCCCTAATTTGGCCTCCGTCTTGGCCCAACACCAACGACTGCACTTCTACTGCAACACCGAAACCGCATTTTCGCCCAGGTATTTGCTGGAAATGTTTGGGACAAATTTTCCTACTTGGAATCGAGCCTCGTTCTCCCATGCTGTGTTTGCTCTTCCCTGACACACCCTACACGCTGTTTTCTGCTTGTGCCTTATTTACCTCACCTCTCCTTTGACATCTGTGCTCTTCTCTCTAATTTCTACTTATTTCCTCCTTTCCTGTTCCTTCCTCTTGAAATATTTGCCCTGGGTCATTCGTTCTTCCCTCCTTCTTCCTATAATCTCCTGAATTATCGCCTTGCCCCTCTCCTAATCGGCAGTTGGATTAGAAACACCCACAACATAGTAATCTTGCAAGGTCTGGCGCTCTCGGCCTCAGCGTTTCGCATTTCCCAACGACAGACTTGTAAAAAAGAGTCAGTTAACTCATACTTCTGATAGCGGAGATTTGTAAAGCACAGTCATTGCAATTTCGCGTGGTTAACAGGCTTTTGTGACGCCTTGTCCGAGATGCAAACCTTTAGACTAGAGTGATCTGGGCGTGTTATGCTAATGATGCACAATCGGTCCTAATTTTTGGTCGGGGTTGAAATTGCTTTCTGTTAAGGTTGTCTCTGGTTTTAACTTTGCCTGGTTTTCTGGTTTACCCTTGCTAATCCTTTTTCTCTGGAGTTTTTTAGTGCAAAATGTCCAGCGAAACTGCTCTGAAATCAATCCCTACCGTGTGTCTTTTGACATGAACATGAGACTTTCATTGACTCCTCAAACCCTTAGGGAAACTCTAATGGTTGGAAAGTACTCCTGTTTCTTGCGCATGGGTGCTTTCTAGTTGATAAATCATGCACAAGCGTAAATAATCATTTGCACGCCTTTTCACGTACTTATCATACTTTTATTAATCAAATGACACTTGTGAGACACTTTCCACAGTTGGGGAGGAAGGGGGTTATTAGATTGTGAGGAGAAATCCGCCTCACCGAGAGTCGTGCTTGGTCCGACAATTAAGAATAAGAATTGAACAAAAAATGCATTTTTTGTCACCCGACCATCTTGAAAAATAGTTTTTTATCGCAGACATACTCTAAAATCATCCATCCTTGTCACAATCCCTGAAGTTGCTGTAACGTCGGTGCAACTCTTCCGCTTGCCGATTCTGTAGCTGTTCTACCTGGGTGCCTGCATCTGCTCTTGAACTGATTCACAATAAAACTGTTTTTGAAAAGTGCCCAGAAATTGCAAAGTGGAGCTAAAAAGGAGGCTTGTGGAGTCTGAATTCTGCACACCAGTTCCCTTTCGATTCGTGTCCAGTGTGCCACCTTATTGATATTGGTCAACTTTAAGCAACTTCCATCACACTCCCAACCCGTGTGTCTGTCATCTGCTCCATTTGCATGTGCATAACCTGTGTAAACTTATTCTCTTATCACGACGGCTTAATGCAGTAGTCATTTGCGTGTGAATTGAATAACAAACTAAGGTGTTTATGTATACGCACGCACGCCAGGTGGTTTTTATCCGTGTGTAAAATATTGCGGAAGCACTACAATTGTTTTTATACACGATTGTCCGATCCTAGTGACCGAAACTTCTTTGGTTTGTAGGAATGATCTTATCATGATTAAATCGTTGTATGTTTATTAATTTTTCCCCTGTTCGACAATTGTCAACGGATCAAGACGTTGATGGACACGAATTTATGTGTAGACTGATTCCCCAGATAGTTGTGAACCGAACAGTTCGATTACTTGAATGAGAAGTCTGTGTGGTTTACTTAAACTAGATAGTACTCAAACCCCACAACACTTCTGCTCATGATTGTGAACTACGTTTGGTTTTAGGCCAAGAACAGCAGTATGTTTCCTACCACCGAGGCTGACAGTAAAATTCAGTAATACCATGTCCTCCTTAGTGGTGCCATGATTAATATGAAATTTATCGTGACTAGACATTACTTTGAAAGGTGAATCTACGTACGATTTTCCGTTGCTGTATGAGATTAACGTGTCTGCTTACGCCTGAGTGCCAATGACACTGACGTTGAAATTCGAAGTAGCAGGTTCTAGTTGAGTTGATTTAGGGGGTGACCAGCATCCTTTTCGAGGAGTTGTCAAAAGGTCCTCATTGTACAGGGTGTTTTAAATACGACTAAAACATTTTCTCCCATAAATTTGTTTGCTATTCCAGTCAAGCGACATGAGATTACTGCATCTGTGGTGGTAGCATTACATTCTTTAGGATGTTTCGTTCCAGGTTTAATGTTTTTATTTACCTCTTATGCTCTTTTTAAGGTGACAATCAACAACACCAGTTTGCCCTTTTTTCGCGTTTCGAATCAGCCATCCGACAGCAGCAGCAACCATCCCGTTCTTACAATCGCCGCAAAGCCGAATCAAATTGCTTTGTCCCAGCAACACACCTCAATCAGGCGTTGACGCTGCCTACCACCCTGTCAGGCCACACCAAGTCGCATTCGCTGACAGCGGCCGCCACCGTCGTCGGACAGTTGGGATCGCCATCGGGTGAACTCTGCCAATCAGAGTCCAAGTCGTATGCCGCCACGCCTCTGAAATTCACTCGGGTAAATGAACCGCCTTTTTTCTATAAACACTTTCAAGTTCATTTTGTGCATTTAAAATTCTAGCCACAAATCTCTACGGATTAAAAATTGTCTATACACAGTAGCTAAAATCGGCTGGAGGTCGAATTAGATTTCGGATTTGTAAAGGTGTGTGTAGTGTGTAATGACGTCTGGCATCCTACCCGGTAGCCGCTGATTTAAGTTGTTCGAACCCGTCGCTCATGTAGGTTTAATATTCTTTAGCACTGGTCGATAACCAGTCGAAAAAAAGCCAATCGGCTTTTGGAGTCATTAGCAGACAGGTCAAATTTCACGTGGAAAAAAATGGTTAATTCCACCTGCCTAACAGCTACCCTTATCGGCAAATCCCATCGCATAGGCACAAATTGGTTTTGATTGGTCTGTTAAATGTAATGTGTAAATTGTTCCTTTTTACTTCATTCGGAGTAATGACAGGAGTCTTTGCGGGGCTTTTCTCAGCGATTCTAACCAAACGAGGCAAATTTTCAGTCTCATTCATCCTATTTTTCCACTAGGATCTTCAACAGCAGCCCTCGATGAACGCCTTCACTAAGGCAGGAAATGGTTTTCCAAGCGGTTCAAAAGCCATTGCTCCACGATCAAGTGGTCCTTGTCGATCAAAAAGGATAGATACAACTCCTTCTTTTTCATCTTCCTCGTCTACTTCCTCGTCAGATGCCTCCGATAAGCCCATTGTTGCCAAGTGGAGGCGCGCCTGCAGCTTCTACTTAAGAGGACACTGCAAGAAGGAGGACTGTGAATTCGCGCACGATCTCACAAAGGTCACTTGCAAGTTCTGGGAGGTGGGGGAGTGCTTCAAGGGCATGACATGTCCTTTCCTTCACGGATATCCACCCGAATTTCTCCTGGAATTACAACAGCGGCAAAACCAGCAAGCAGAACAATTGACCAGCAACGGTTAATTTGTGCGTTGATACTCTCTCTCCCCCGCGCTCTAGTCGGAAACCGTCGTCCGAGCGCATTCCCAGGATACCACAGCGTTCTGTTTTATTGTACTATCTAAATTATATTCACATTTGGCTTTTACAAACGATGCATCGACAACTGGCCCGATCTATCTCTTTCCCTAATATGATACCTCCCCTTTTTTTAATAGTCTCGCTATTACGACTTTTTGCCTGAATTAAATCTGGTGAAACACTTATATACTTGACTGGCTGACGCTGCGCTGATGTAATAAAGGCCTGATTTTTGTCTACTCCGAATTCTGTCAATATTCTCATCCCTTCTGTCCTGAAGATTGTTTTCTCCACCACCTCCTAACTCCGTGAACGAAGTCGTGGGAGGAAGTGTGTACGTGTGTGTGTGTGTGTGTGTGTGTTTAAATGCGTGCAAGGGGACGGTGATCGACTTTCATTTCCTACCGTTACCGCGTGTGTGTCCTTTGAGGTAGCAGCCACTCATTTGCGTTTCCTTATTATGAAACGTCCTGGAAAACTTCTCCTTTTGCCACCTCTATGCACACACGCGCACGTGTGGAAATTTTTAATTTTAATCATTGGAAATAAAAGAAAAGTGATGAGCTTTGTCTTTTTTTCCCTTCCGAAGGTTTGGTTTGCATATGGAAAGTATCATTGCTCCGGTTATAATAGGTAATAGTCGTATCATCACCCTACTTTCCAATCATTGTGATCTTCGGTCGAGTTGATTCCTTGCCATTGTCAATGGTATTCGTTGTATGATTCACATCAGGATAGTAAATGATGGATGTAGTCTACCCATAACTAAATCTTTAGTCACTGTTTTGATTTATCTTCGAAAATTTTAAGTCTTAGTCGAGCAACGTCGTAAATAGAACCAGCGAATTCATGCATTGGTGGAAAGAACTGGCATACCAAGTTTGTACAAGTGTTGTGTTACGTAATGATTATTTACTCTGTACACTTATTTCCGGAAATATTCGATGACATGCCATTGTACACATTGGAGTGATTTGGTCTTGTCATTACGTACGACTTATGCTTAAATATGCACGAAAGCTAGCTGTCGGCTCAGGATTTATGAAAATATAAGACCCTAAAACACCGTTTCTGCACATATTCACGACTGATAGAGAAGTCCTTAGAAAAAAGTTACTGGAGGGGCTTTCAAAGCGCTTACTCATGGAAATGCCGGCATAGAATGACGAGTAAGTACTAGCAGTGGTCTGAAGATGGTGGGAATGACGTGGTGGCTGAATCACCAAGATTGCTCAATGTTCCTCACAAGGCTTTCGACCTTCAGCACAGATTCATGCCTGGTATTAACTTCCAAACGTTTGACTGTAAAGTTCAATATAGATTAACAAGTTTGACTGCATAGCTGGTATGGGTGGTTCTTTGGTTGGCGTTAAAAACAAGACGATCGGTAATGGCGGGGTGTTGAAAGCGTTTAACATCGAACCAGCTGATCGGCTATGCACGATCGAACATGTGCTCTCACGTCAAGGCGGGCTGCGATGTCAGTGCAAAGGACTCTCGTATTCTCCATAATTAGACTCTTTTTTCGCCTGGTTTTGAGGTGGAAGAATTTTTTTAATGTTTTCATGTTTTGGGAAGCAAGGATAATGGAATGAGGAAGACCTTTAAGTTGAAGAAATTGGCGATTATTTGCGCTGCGATCATAGAAATCAGGCTTATCACTGTTAAGGTAAACAGTTATGCTCTTACATGAAACGCCTGTAGAAACTGCAAATGGAAGGATACTCAAGTCCGGACGTAATATCCGCAACGACACAATCAAGAAGTGAGCAGGTGGTAAACAATCAGTAAAACAGCTTGTCCGGAAATCCCGTTGACTAAACTTACCATCTCTGAGGGAAGTGCCTTCCAATTTGAT